TGTGTGTGTGTGTGTGTGTGTGTGTGTGTGTGTGTGTGTGTGTGTGTTTTGGGAGACAGGAGTTTGAGATGAATAAGAAACGCTGTGTACCATTTTCCATGCTACATACCGACTATAACTAGGTTTCGAGTTTGTAGTGCATTCACTCTGGAAAAGTGACAAAATGAAGTACCCTTGATACCAGTATACTTGGCTTGTTTGATTTTTTTAAGTGTGTTGTTGATTGACTCCTCACAGCTGGAAAAAGTTCAAACAAGTTGTAGAAACAGATGAGACATCTCCAGGAACATTGTTTTGTAAGTTTCCAAATTTTAAATTGGCTAATTGCTTTTCCCAGTTTGATCCATGGCAGTTTATTTTTTTTTAATCATTTCCTGTTGATTTGGGACACGGCTCATGTCTTTGACTAATTAAACAAAGTTAGAAGAACTGAACACAGTAAGGTGCAACATCATAAGAAATCACAGCAGGATTCTTTTTTTAATGCAATCCAAAATGAGACATCTGTTGTCAGAAAATAAGTTGTGTATTTATTTGTTCATTCACCAATGACCAAACAGATGAACATTGTTACATACACATAAGCTGTGCTACAGATGTAATGTGTATAGGGCCTCTAGCTGAAGCTAATTTGCAGCTCCATCCGTGCCGAAGGTTTTAAATCGAGGTTAAAACAGGCGAACAAACAAGTTGAACAGAATCACAATTAAAACAACAGGACAGAAAATGTAATTTATGTTTTTGAAGAATTTAGTTATGATGCCATTTCTTCGATCTCTGATCCATAACATGTTAAGGATGTATATGATGATGTTTAATGATATGTATGCACATTTGAGCTGCTTTGATAGATATACATGGTGTCATCAAACAAGAGAAGTCTAAATCTGTTTTGATAGTTTGGACACTTTCCTAATATTGGCTTCTAACCTGAGTTGAGAATCCAAAATGACACCTAATAGATGACACGGAGGAGTTACGGCAAAGTAGGATTTGTGGCACGCTTCATTGATTTCTGTTGTGTATACACTGGCAGCAGTCACAGTCACACAGCTCACACTTAAATACAACAGTTTTAATCATATCTCAAATTATGTTCGTTATTAGACTGGGATTGCCAAGAGTCCCATGCAAACAGCAGGCCTGATTAAGGTGCATAGACATGGAAATGTCTTTTTCTTGTTTGTACAGATGAACATGATGGGCACAGATTCAGAGCAAGAACTGCACACACATCTCGGGGGCTTTTAACACTTTGAATATTTCTTATATTGTTGTTTTTTCTTCTCTTGGATATGAAACATTAGCTTCCTCTATTGGCTGAGCCACTGATTAAACTACTACATCTTCATTTGGAGCTCATTGGAGTCCGGATGAAGAGGAAAAACTCCCTGTATAGCTGGCTAGTGTTGAGTCGGCTCACACGGGGGGTGTGTGTGTGTGTGTGTGTGTGTGTGTGTGTGTGTGTGCGTGTGCGTGTGCACGTGTGCGTGCGTGCGCCACTGCCAGACGGTGATAGTAATGAGGTGTTTATGACCGATATTGTATGTTGTGAATTCAATTGGGCATCAGATGTAGCAGTCAACAGATGCCGTATCCCTTTTCCCTGATTTGTCAAACTAATTATGATTATCTTATGGTGTCAAATACCAGACTGTCATGAGCTTTGCTGCTATTTACTGGCTTCGATCAGCATAGAAACGGTTCCTGACGTCTTCATTTGCTCTGCAGGTCACAAGATGTCACACTACTATAAATATACACATATTGAGCGACATGAAAGTGATACTGTAATTGCTTATTCAGCCTTCAGTATCCCCGAAATGAAATTTCTGTAATTTCCACGTTTTTGTTTTTGAATGGAGTGACGCTCCATATGCAAAAATGAAGTGATGCTGGAGTTGCATCATCCTACGTTATTTCACCAGCAGTACAATGATGGAAGACCGCAGTGTGGATTTTATAAGCCGGTATGTAATTGCAAACAGATGTTAGCGCCCAGATGCAAGTGAACAAAGTCTGACTTTCACAAAGGAAATAACTGAGCGATTGTGGAATGTATTGTTGTTGGTATTTTGATACTTGGTGCAGCGTTTTAAACCACTGCAAGAGGCAACAAAATGGAGAATAAATAACATTGCCGTCGAGATGCGAAACAGAAAAATGTAGCCATCTTCTGTAGTCGTTGTTGAATCCACTTACAGTCTTCTGAAGTCCTTACCACCGTCTGTGTTTTTACTTTTGCCACTCACTTAAAAAAAACCTGTGGTAGTTATTATGTTATGTTATATATGTTGTTATTATATAATTATGCTGAGAAGTGAACCCCACTTCTCAGCATAATTTTACTTTGGGTTTAATTAATTCAGAGATGAAAAAAGGAAATGTTCAGTGTGACACAGGATGGACTTGTCGTCTGTGTTTGTCTGATTACCTAAATGTTGTTATAGTGAACTGAAACTTTATTTATTTAACGATGGATATGCCAGGAGAGATGCAACCATCTCTATTAGACTTGGAAAGACGACCAGATCTCATGTTCAACTGTATTTCTAGTTCACCTTGGAGGAGGATTCAACACACGTACCTTACACACACCTCCCCTAGCAAGAGATCCTATTATCCAATCCCATCCTTCACACCCCTACCTTGAAGGCGAGAGTCAGTTTCGATTGAGTTGGGATAGATGATGCTTCCCTTCCCTCTCCCCTCTTCCCTCCCTGACCTCGTCTTTCATCGCTCTTTACCTTGGGAGTTTGAAATTCAGCAGCAGCTTGTCGATGGTAAGACTGTTTGGTCTCGAGGGCTTCCTATCAGCTAAATGGTGCGTGCAGAGCTCTGCGCTGCCAGCCTCGAACGCTGAGTGTCTCAGTTTGTACCCGCTATGAAGTTAGAGACACTCCGGAGACATCAGCCCCTCTGATGATGTCTGAACGTTGTCATTTTGTACCAAATTCTGTCAACAAAAGTTGTTTATCTGTAACTGAAACCGTCACTGAATACACATTTCATAAAACAAAATGTCTAGAAGATGGAGAGGAGGAAGATGTTCCAAAAAGGCAGACTGGGGGAAGATCAGTGTAAATCCCGCTAAACCCTGAGCATTAGCATGAGCAAATAAAAATGGCAAATATAAGTAACGACAAGAAGAAGGGAATTAGTTTAAGTTGAAGGGCTTTATGGGGTCAGTAAAGTGACTAATTAAAAGAGAGGATGAAGGAAAATCCCCAAAATCAACATTTGAAGTCGCAGTGAAACAGCAATTATGAGTGTCTTTAGCCTCCCATGTGAAGCTGAATATGTGGGGTATGTGATCAAAACCTTCAGGTGTAATTGTACAAAATAGGTATTCAATTGTAATAGAAATACATTGGAGCACAATCGGTCTCTCTTGGAAAAAGCATTGTAAACAAAGTTATTGTCAACGGAAATCCAAACACTTACCACTGACCCATGAGGCTTAGCTATTTTATAAATATATGCCCCCAAGTTCAAGACCGCAAAAGTATTACGACCGTTTTACAGGAAGAGGAAATAGGGATTTTGTTAAAAAAACATTTTAAAATATATATTTGGCAAATACCAAGAGATAACTGAACAATTAACAAAGGGGCACAGGGAACTTAATATCTTAAAAACATGTTTTTTTTTTTTATTCCACTGTGTCTATACGAGGTAGGAATAAGAAAGGTGGATATAATAAATTGTAATAACTATTTGGTACAAGTTTAATAAATATAAATGGAGTGTAAAACTCAAATAAAACTTGACGGGATGAAAGGAATGACTTTCCTCAAGGGTTAGAACGTTAATGCAAGTTTGGATGAATCATGTCAAAGCTAATACTGATTTGTGTTAACAGTAAGTGCTTACTCGCCTAGTGATGGATGATGCAGGCATAACTGTGACCAGAGGCTTGGATCAGTGATACATAATAGTAATGCTGTCTATCCCACTTGCACTGATTTGAAGCAGTTATTGTCTTTTTAACTGCAACCAATTGGTAATTTAAACCGGACTGTTGTACTTTGTAGTTCAGCTGCCTCATCGTTGGCAATCGATCATATAATTAGATGTTGGTGTTTCAGTCGACTAAGAATAGTATTTTTTTTTTTTATGGTGTCTTGATGAAGAACGAGTCTTAAGTAGTCATTACTCATCTGTAGAAAATAAAAGGCACAATGGTATTCACCAATAAGCTTTTGTGTTTTGTCTTTGATGTAATGGTCTGTGATTGTAAATGTAAATGCGACGCCACATTCGATTCCTCATGTACATACAGTACATGGAGCTATATGCTCTCGAGGGTCTGTGGAAGGATAATAAGCTGTGTCGGGATAATCCTGAGGGCGTCCACTTCAAAACACGGCTAGTTGAACGGCTAGATTTCCCTGCAGCTCCCACAGTCGCTGCCAGACAGTGACGGCACTGAGCTTTCTGAGGTGTGGAATACTAAAACACCTTGTTGGGGTTTTATCGATATTTTAATGTACATGCTGCTTTTGCCTGCAAGTATGCGAGCATTTCTTAAACGCTAAAGGCTCTCTCAGCCGCTTGCTCTTCATGGCTGACTGAGCATCTGCCCTACACACAAACACACACACACACACACACACACACACACACACAAACAAACACACAGAGGCTCTTACATGAATTTATGCCCATTAAAGACAAAAGGCACACTGGCTTAAATGAAGCTTAAAAACACTGTGGCACTGAGTCCCCCCACCACCATCACACACACACACACACACACACACACACACACACGCACACACACAGCCAATATGCATTCATGTTTCTTTACTTTCAGAATGTAGTGTAGTAGAAGACGGTGTTATAGAGAAAAAGGGATGTGTGTGTGCTGTGTGTACGTGATGCGTGTGTGTGTTTAATGGAGGCAGGTCTGATGCTCCCAGGGCACAGCTCTGACCGTCAAGCAACCGTTTCCCTTGTTTCCATAGCAACCACTGTCCAATTACCGCTGCCGCGCTGCACTACTCTGGCTCTGTTTCGGTAAGATGGAGCCACTTCTACGTTGCGCGTGTACACGCTTGTGTTCAAATGCGCCAGCGCTTGTGTGTGTCTATCAGAGACTCTTTCTTGTACGGCTGCATGTCGTCTCTTCATCCAAACGTCTGTACTGAGAGCTTCTCCTCCCTCACCTCCCCACCAGAGGAAAAAAAGACTCTCACTCTGCTCAGCCGCTTGGAGAAAAGAAAAATCCCTCACTGGTGTAGCGACTTGCAGCCACTCACGATACCCCTCCTCCTCCTTCATCTCCTCTTCTCTCATCCCTCCCCCTCTGTCTAAACCTCTCTCTCCCCCTCTCACACACACACACACACACACACACACACACACATACACACATATCATGTGATTCACTTGCTGCACCACCATTGGCGTCTCTGATCGTGGCGTGTATCCAATCAGGGCATAAGCCTGGAGATCAACATAAGCGAAGCAGAGCAGCCCGGCTGATGCTCTTAGAGTCACAGAGGGAGGGAGCAAGGCATCTAAAGAGGCATACAGAAATATTACAGTAAAGGGGACAGTTAAAGAAGAAACTAGGACACTTTGTTGTTGTTTTTTTTAATTTTTTTTTTTATTTAAAGAGAATATGCTAAAAGAGAGAATTAAACAGGAAACCTGAAGGAACAAAGGGCAAGAGAAGAAAGCGCAAAAGGAGAAGGTGCACACGCTGCGCTGACAGACGAGTCTTCCCTTATTGTGGCTAACGCTAACTGTCCACAATCAGCTAGACCGCTCTCGCTCGGAGCCATCTGCTTCCTAATTCCATCCTTCCATCCATCCCTGTCTCTCGGCGGGCGCTAAAAACTCCTTCTCTGGCAAAAGCACGAGGATTCACCTGTCACTGTGGAGAGTTTCACACCACACTTGGAAACATGGAGGTGACATGTAAGTAAGAATGGGGGGGGGGGGGGGGGGGGGAGAGAGAGAGAGAGAGGTTTGCAATTAGCATGGCTGGATGGAGCAAAGGGAGGTGGTAGTAAAGGAGGAAGAGGGACTGTTTGTGTTGTTGCCTGGCTGCAGAGGAGGAGGAGGAGGGAGGAGAGTGGAAGGAGCGGAGAAGAAAAAGGCAAGGATGGAGAAGATGGGACAGGAGAAGAGAGAAAGAGGAGGGACAGATGGGGCTATGTAGACTCAGCGAGGCGTAAGCAGGTTCGACAAGGACCCAGATCACAGCCTTTTCATTAACACACTCACACACACACACACACTCACTCTGCTAGATTGCAATTTCACCAACACACACCCACACATCTACATGCATGCATACTCACCTACCCCCATCACTCCAGGCATCGTGTGTGTGTGTGTGTGTGTGTGTGTGTGTGTGTGTGTGTGTGTGTGTGTGTGTGTGGTGGGGGGTTGGGCTTTGTTGTTGTGAATGGGATTAGTCCACAACACCAACGCCCACCGTTTGTCACCAGAGGAATTCGATGCCACTACTACTGATCTCCTCCACTCCACCCTGTCTCTCTCAGCCTTGGATGAGCTTCAACCAGTGTTTTAGCCGGAGGGGTTTGACTCGGGATTAGAGTGGGGTCAGCCCCAGACTGCAGAGCGGGAGTCTGTGAAATACTGCCAGGACCGGATTTCATGTGTTTCAGACAATACACAGTACAATTGTATCCACTGTGTGTGCTATTGAACCGGGCTTTGTACGGAGGAACTGTGTCCTGGCTGCTAGATGACCTAATATAATGAATTGTGCTGAATTGTTTAGCAGATTAGTAAATCAGTCGATTGAGAAAAAAAGTATTCTACTACAGTGCTCAATCAATATTCATCAAGAAAAAAAAAAAAAAAGTTTTGCTTGTTCCAGCTTTAATATATAGATGTTTCTTATTAAATTGACAATGATACAAAACAATCTGAAAATTAAATGATTCATTCATCTAAAAATATAAACTAATTAGAAGAAGAGTTTGACGTTTTGAAGGACTTAAATGAGAAGTTTGGTGCTATTCAATAGGACGCTAAAGCTGAGAGACGACTAAGCTATCATCTATAAGGACTTTAAACGATGAGAAAGAACTTCCCTGGCTCTTACCTATGCTGAAAAAATACATCTAGCAGCACCTCTAAAGCCCACTCATTAACATGTTATATTCAATGTGTTTTGTTTATAACAAAAAAGAACCCATTTTGGCTTTACTGGGGTGCTGGATTATATGTTGGCGGGGTCAGGCTAGCCGAATTCAGTCTTTGCGCTAAATTAAGCTAACTGACTCCAGCTCCATATTGAACAGACGGAGACAAGATTGTCATCAATCTTCTCATCTAAGATTCGGCAAGAAAGCTAACAAGCATACCCAACAAAATGACAAACTATTCCAACAGTACAACAATTCACATTAGTTGCAGCTCTGTTGATGGTAATGTTTCCAATCCTACATGACAAGCCAAGTTCAATCCCTGAGAAAAAACACTGTTGTGTGCGTCTGTATCAGTGTCCTGTAAAAGTGCTGGTCACCCAGCACTTCAGCTAAATAAACTAAGCACAGCTGTTTTTTGTTTTTTGCTGGTGTTTGGATCACCTCAGGCCAGAGCAGAAATGTCAGAGAGTAGATAATCTGCTTTGTTCAACCATGTTACAGACTGACCCGTCCCATGCGGGATTATTCACTTTGGCAATCCTCAAAAGCCCCCCTCAGCTGCAGCAGACCGACCTCTTCATCAACCATATCTCACATCGTTTTATGTTTGGCTACCATTAAAAGAATATGACTGAGTGTGTTGAGATGCTATTCGATTTAAGGACACTTAATGCAAATGATTTCTGGCTCTGCTCTTTAGCAATGTGGACAGTTCCTCCGCTTTGCCAGAAGGTCAACATGCACGCCTACGTGACTAATGCAATGGGTGTGTCTGTTGTGTCCGGTGAGAAGGGATGCGACTATGATAATGTGAGTGCAGGTGTCAAAGGTTTTGGGTAACACGCCGTGTTTGGGTTCCAAAAAGCAGCTTGGTACAGTTAATGAAGGCGCTGCACACGCTGCCATATGCCAACAGCTGTGACTGCTGCTGCTGTGCTTTGCATGAAGCAGTACATCTATGACTCGTATCGGGACACAGTAAACCAGCCCCTCCCCCGCTCATTTTCTGCAATGAGACCTGCTGTTTTCTTATAGTTTTATTTACCTCTACAAGCCTCTAGATCTTTCCTCTCTCTCTCTCTGTCCTTCTCTCGATCCCTTTATAGCTCTTTCTCTTTCTCTGCCTCCTGTGGTCTCTCTCCCTCTTTTCCTCCTCCTCATTCTTGTCTCTCGACCCCCCTCCACCTCTATTGTTGAATTCAGACAGGCTATTTATATCTTTCTGCCTGGCTGCCTCACCTCCCACTCCCTTAACAAGGTTTGTTTTATTGCTTTTGCACATGTGCACGTGCCATCGGACAGTGCATGAATGTGTGTTTGTACATGCATCGCAATAAATTGGTGTTTGTGTTTGAGTCGTAGGGTTGTGTGTTTTTGAGTGGGGGGGGGGGGGGTTGTGTAGCAGGAGCACAGTGTGAATGCCGAGCTTTGTGTCTACGCAGGGACTTGTTTCTTTTTCTTCTGTGCATTAGTTTGTTTTGTGTGGTTGCCTAAGGGGGTGGGGGGGAGGTCTCTGATCTCAGCCAGCGCTGACCCACTCGCACTAGAGAGCAGAAACTCAGCTCGCTAATCAGACCAGAGAGATCAGCAACTATTAGCATCAAACCATCAGAGTTACATGAGCAGAGATGCTGAGCTAACGTTTTGTTTTGTTGTGTTTCAAGATGAAACCCTTTGTCCCATCTTCACAGCTGTTAACTGGAAATCAACAGGGGAAAAGAACTCAAGTTTTCCTGAATTTTGATTTCGTTATTTATCATTTATTTACACCTCTTTGTTTATTGATTAGTCGGTGTGCATTTCTTTGATATGTGTCATACTTTTGTGCACAGAAATCCACTCAGTGTGTACTTTAGATTCTCCTCGCAGACAATGCAAAGTCTCCACAAAGGCCCTTGTGTTCGGATGTGTCTTATTGTGGATACGTGCTGGAATATGACTGCTGTTCGCCTCATTATTGGTATCACCTGATCATTTTGTTGAATCTTGTTTTAAATGAAAGCACTTTGAAGCATCAGTGCGAGTATAATACCAGTATAGAGTACCATAAGTGCATTATGGGTAGACTCTTGAATAGGGATTGTTCCAGATGGGAGTTATTGTATGAAATATAATGAAATAATACTGTTTTTGATGTCCTTGAATGGATATTTAATCACAACCAATTTACTCATCCCTCTGGGAAAATTAATGCAGAACGTTCATATTTCCTGCAACACCCGTGTCATAATAAAACACTCATTAATGCAAAGCTGTGCACAAGCCAAGGTCGACACTTGGCTTTCATCAGCATTTCTTGACTCGCAGTAAGTGGCGATTTCCCAGGCGACTTTGCTCTCCAGTCATCCATGTGGGCCGTGCTGCACCTCACATGGAGCCTGTTGTTGAAAAGAAGCTCCTCTGACAGTTTGTCTGGGCTTGCAGTGCTAGCACTCTAAATATGGCAACAGCAGCTAGCAGCAACAGCCGGCGTCGAATCTGCATCACTCATGTGGAAGGAAGAATAGGATTGATGGAGGGAGGCCTCCAGATGTGTTGTGTGTATGTGGGAATATTAGGAATTTACATCGAGTGCAGTGCCCGTTGAAAACATGTCCGTTCAGAACGAGTCATTTTGATATTTAGATATGAAAAATGATTTTACTATTCTAAGTCATTGTACCCCGAATATCCTGAAAAAGGCCCCTAAAGCACGTAAAATATATGCAACTCAAATGTATACTACTTACTGTGTACTTCTGCTTCACAGGAAAACATTGTACTAAAACATTTACCTGACCGACAAATGTTAACCCCAAAAAAAAACACAAAAACCAAGTCACGCGGTCAGAAACATTGGTGAAAAACACCAGACCATGGTCATTATCCAAATTGGCGTACTAGTCGCTTGCGTTGACCTAACCTTTGCGATTAATGTAAAGCATTAATTGACGTTACTAGTGTTCTAAGTAAGTATCAAGTCATAAAGCAAGTAAATACGCACCCAAGTCGCGGCTTATTCGCGGTCATAGCAGTGAAATAAACACTGGTTCAATTCTACTTTCAGTTGGCTATCTGTTCCTGTTTACTCCAGGGAAGTGAAGAAGAGTTCAGTTGTAAAGTGAACTGTAGTCAATGAGCCGCGGTCTGCCTGCTGCGGACGACATGCTGGACTCAGACTACAGACCCTGAAGCTCCGCCCCCCCTGCACCACAGAGCGCTATTTGCTTGTTTATTCTAAGTTTATTCTTATCGACCCTATCGCATGTCTAAATTTCATCAAATTTGACAAAATCATTCCCAGCAATACAACCACCAAGTGTGAAGTAGATCGGATGAGCAGCTCTCGTGTTAGGTGAAGGACAGTGATTTCTTGCTTTATTCATGTTTCATGTGTGTTGGTGCTTGTTCATACTCTATAATGCATGTAGGTGAGGGATTGATAAGTATGTGTGCAGTGTAAGTGTGCATGTTGAGAATGTGTATATCTCTGTTGCCTTCAATACAGTTTGTGCTGTTCCATGTAGTGCAGTAATACTGTCAAATTCAGAGAGAAAAGAGCTGCTTTTCACTGTGCTTTAAAGTAACATTTACCCCTTACCACTCTATTTTGTTTTAATGAAATACCCAGATATGGGACTTCTTACATTCCAGCTATGGGGGGTATATACATAATTGAAATTTTAATGGATGAAAGTAGTGCCTTTCCACTTCGTTGCTTTCAGCAGACTTGACAAAGAGCCGTGACGGGGTTGTCAGGAGAGTCTAACAAGAAAAGCTGAATATGCTAAATATAATCTTGGAATCTGTCTGCAG